TTCTTGCTTGTCGGGTTGCGGCGGCGCTTATGTTCCATCCATGTACGGTGCCCTGCTTGCTTCGATCCTTGCTTGTGTTGCTTGCATACTACTACACCACGCTTTTGTGTTTTGGGCTGCCCAAACACAGACACACATGCGCACACATGCTGCGTCCCTTCATTCATGATGCCAGCGATGCAATGCACCCATTCAAGCAACAAAACGCGCGTGCATGCGCCTATGCCCATATGGTCGTCATTCAGTGGCAAGGGTGCAGAACGAGCGTGTATTGAGAGTTGATATTGCTGGCAGGAATTCCTGCATTGCAAGCGCAATGCAAGGCAAAACACTATAACGAAGGAAGACGGTTGGAAACCGTGACATGCACTGTCTACTCGAAATGCGCCGGATAACATCATCAAAATGGCTTGAGAACAGCAAAACCTGCCTGAACTTAACAGAGAGAGAGAGAGAGAGTGTGTGTGTGTGTGTGTGTGTGTGTGTGTGTGTGTGTGTGTGTGTGTGTGTGTGTGTGTGTGTGTGTGTGTGCGACGACGAAGAAGAGAGAGAGAGAGAAGAGAGAGAGAGAGAGAGAGAGAGAGAGAGAGAGAGAGAGAGACATTCAAAAACCATGCGACAGTCGTGTGCGCGTCACGTCACCCACACCTCCATGGGTGAGTTGCACACATACTTGAGCACTGCATTCAATCTTAAGGGGTTTTTGCCTGCAAGCCAAACACAAATGCACGCGGCCACCACGCCACCATGTCGTACTAGCATTGGACATCTGGAGGTACGCAATCAGTGCTGATGCACTTGGTAATGGCAGGTGTGGGTGGGCAGGCGGCACAGATGATGCGGGTGATGGATTGGAAGGATGTTGTGGTCGTCGTCAGGCAGTCTCCATTGCCATTGACTACAAAACACTGAAAACTGCCACAGCAGCTGGTCGAAACAGTGTATGTGGTGGCGTACAACTGCCCGTGCGCGTTGCAGTAGGACGTCGCGCCCTGGACGGTTCCATAGATGGGCAGTCCTGATGCTCGTGGGTCATCATGAATCACCATTTCCACCGTCGTTGTCATCGTTGTTGTTGTTGTTGTTGTCATTGTTGTTGTTGTTGTTGTTGTTGTTGTTGTTGTTGTTGTTGTTGTTGTTGTTGTTGTTGTTGTTGTTGTTGTTGTTGTTGTTGTTGTTGTTGTTGTTGTCGTGGTCGTACTTTTGATTGAAGTGGCGGTCGAGGATGCCCTCTCTGTTGTAGTTGCGGACGCCAACATCGTTGTTGTTGTTTTCGTCGGCGTGGGTGACGCTGTCGCTGTGGTTGCGGCTGGTATTGTCGTTGCCATGGAGGTGGAAGGGTTCTCCTCTTCCTCGCCGTTTGCAGTTGGCGCCAAAACCAGGCCATGGAAGATGACGGTGGCATTGATGTGCACGTGCGATTTGTTGTGTGGTGGGCACAGCAAGAGCCGATTGCCAGCGTCCACTGCGATTGTCGTAACACCCGTGTACTCGCACGGATCGCCAATCACCTGTGACTCTGAGGATTCTGAGGATTCTGAGGATTCTGAGGATTCTGTTGCTACGCCAGCCCCGAGCGTATCCAGTACATCCACGCCGTGAACACGGAGGCGACCCCCAATGTGCATCTGGCGCATGGGAAGTACGGAATGGCTGCTGTTCTTGCTGTTGTGGTCGTTTAGTTGGGGGAAAGGGGGCGGGCAAAACACAAGGTGTTGGGCGGGCTGTTCGTCGCCGGTGTCGTTTCGTGCAGCCAGTTCAATGAAGGCTTGAGCGCCACAACTGTTGCAGTGCTGCTGGGACCGTGGTGCGGCAAGGAGCGTCGAGTCATTTAGATGTGCCCGGGACACGAGAGTGCCTGACACAAACACGTTGCCGCACAGCTCAACTGTCGCATTCTCGGGCACGCTAATGACCACGTCGCCGTTGACGGTGTCTTCAATCACCACAACACCATCCTCCAAGGCGAAATGGTTGTTGTTGTTGTTGTTGTTGTTGTTGCTGCTGCTGCTGCTGGCAGTGTCTGTTGCGATCAACACCAGCACCGCCAACGTCAACACGGCCGACCACCAGCTCACAGCGACATGCCTCTGGGTATGCCTGCTCCAAGCAACAAGCACCATGATGATGACGAGCGAGCGAGCACTCCTCCCTCGGGTGTGCCGATAAGTAGCTGAAGATTTTCGCGAAACGTCAACAAAGGCCAAACACAAACAACGAAGAAGACAGCAGAGACGATGGAGGACGACGATGCAATGGCTGTCCGCGGCGCTGGTGCTGGTGCGCCCATGGTGACCTTTGGTTCGCGGTTTGTGCACATGAAGGAAGCTGTACAGGAGGATGAACGCACACGCACAGCCCACGACAGCATGCGCGCCCTTCGCGTTCAAGGTGGGTCGATCGGTTGTCATGGATGTGTTTGCAATGTGTTTTCTGTGTGTGTGTGTGTGTGTGTGTGCAATGTACTTTGTGTCTGGGTGTGTGCGCGTGTACTTTGTGT